AAGCACCACAGTACGTAATTCACGCACAAAATTCTACATGCATGCATAAACATTATAAGCAGAGGGTACATGGCACGAAAAGATCGAAATGAATGTTTGGCATAGCCTAATTTGCATATCAATTAAATGTTGTTGCCGTGTACCAATTGTAAGGAACAGTCTAAACCTGGTCTCAATTGCATGTCTGCTTTCAAAAAGTCATCTCAGTCTGATTCGTAAATTTTTTAGCCACGTATTGACGTCACATGTACGGTCTTAAGAAAAGCGTTTTGGATATTTACAACTGCCAAAAAGTATTTTTAGTTCACAAATAATCAACAAAACGTTAGTCACTTGATATTTGATAACAATTGACTTCAAATTGTGAGCTTTACAAATGTCATATGAAATAAAAATATAAACAATTGACCTTTTGAAATAAAGGTTCATAATTTTGGATATACAAAATTTTGGTTATTGGTAATAACCGTATGGACTAAACAAAAGATCAACGAATGTACTCGCAGTTATATTGCTACCTTAAGTGATGAGAGTTTGAGTATGTGTTAGTGGGTAGTAATACTAAGTGAAACAACTGTTAATTAATGTCATGTTGACTAAAATGTTGAAACGTACCCCCAATTTTCAATGACATAGGGTACTTGTACCCCTACATTTGAAATTTACTGGGCATGCTGCGTTTGTGTAAACTTTTAACCTAGAAACGTCAACCTTGACAAAGAAATGCAAATAATTCACAATACGGAAACGTTTAATTTTACTGATATTAATACAAACAATCGATATAATAGAGTTAATATGATTGTTTGACCAGTCAAATACAAATCATGAGAGCAAAATACAAGTTTTTAATCAATATTACTTTATAATAACACTTTTTATTGTATACCGTTATGTTTGCAGTCTTTAGAAATGTTTAAACATAACGTTATAATTTGGTGTCAACAATGTCATTCCGAAACACACGTATACAATATCGGCAAATATTTCCTTTTTGTCGGGTCGTGTATTTGCCGGTAAAAGATGTAGCAAATTTGTCAAATTATATGATAAATTGATATAAATCAACGCCTGAAAGCACTAAATTCACCAATATACTGAACTTGTATTGTTTTATAGTTGAGTTTTCTATAGATTTGTACTATGTCTCTTGGCATTCTTTTAAATGACACCGTGGCGTGATTAAAACAAGACACACTTCCAGATCGATTGATGCTTTCATGATTATTTTAAATTAAGTATTGTCATCAGAGAATGGTTTATGTATGATCAAAGCATGTACAAAATACATTTTCCATAGCCCATGTGAGCGTATCCTTAAGTAAAAAAGCAAAAAATCTAGATTATATTTAAGCTTCAATAAAATTTTTCACTCAGATATTAATATAGCTTTCAGCTGAACTGTAGATAACGTGTGTAATTTTAGAATAAAGATAATGATTTATTGCATGACGTACATTGTTTCCCATGTGATGAAATCTGTTAAGTTGTGTTGTTGTTGTTTTTTATTTCTTTTTCGCTTTATTTTATACCTATATTATGTTGTGTTTTTGTTTCCCATAAACGAAAAAAATACTCGATTAATTGTAATTTGAATATGTAAAAAGTTCTGGAAACAAAGTGATCCCTCGGAAGTATTAATCACAACAAAATTACATAAGAATTGCAGACTCGGTTTGATTGAGTCTGCACATGAGAGATAATGAATAAGTGCAACATCCCTCACGCCCTCTAGCACCGGCTTCAGCAGTACTCAATTCTCAACACTTTATAGTGCTGGCATCAATGATCCCGAAGGAACAGAAACTATAACAACACTGAAGTGAAGTGAATTATAAAACACAAGATCGGTGTCAACTCATGATAGCCAATTGCATTTTACAGGTACTGTGTAGCAGAAAACCAAGCAATCACAGAGGCATAGCTTGGTCCAAAAATCATTCATGCGGAAAACTTGTGTTATATGCCCAAGTACTTAAGCAACTAATCAATTCTGTAAAGTGAGCATTCCTGTAAAGTTTGGGTAAAATTGCACAAGTAGTTTCTGAGAGATCGTGACAAAATCATGTGTAGCTTGCAACACTAAAAACATATTTATTATTCAAGGGCCATAACTCGGCAAATAATAATTCAAGCGGAAAACCTGCGAAGTATGCGCAAGCTTATTTGTCTTCACAATCAGTCCTGTAAGGTTTCATTAAAATTGCATAAGTAGTTTAACAGGAGTAGTTCTGTAAAACTTTAAAAATAAAAAAAAATAAAGAAAGGGCCATAACACTAACGAATTTTCACTGAACCATAAAAAGCATAACAATACTTTTTGTAGCGTTCTGATTTGATTGCACCAGTAGTTTCTGAGAATTAGTCTGGAAAGCTTCTGTGTAGCTAGCAACATACAAAAAATTACTCTGCCAAAAGTCAGAAAATTCCAACGATATGCAAAACTAGACTTGGTTCTGATTATTCCTGTAAAATAAAGAAAGCCCAACACGGCAAAATTGTAAAATGTTGCAGGCTCGGTTTGATTAAGCTGTTCATGGACGTTACTGGAAAGTGCAAGTTACCGTCCACGCCTCGTAGCACCGGCTTAAGCAGAATTCAACATTTAGCCACAAAATGGTGAACTTTTGAATTAGGAAACATCCGCAGATATGTTCATACGCCGGTTATCATGGGACCTTCAATGTGATACAGTAGTGTCATTCCATGAAAAGCGGCGTATGGTCCCCAATTAAAAGAATGTGAGTGCACTAAACGAGAAAACCATGGGCGAAACTAAATAAAATGGAATTTAGAAAGAGGATGTGAGGTTATGAAGCCTGCATATCGCAGACAAGACGTCAAGTTTGGTTAAACTTTCACCATAACATTTGAGGAGTAGTCCGGACACATTTTGTTTAATTGTTAATAATTTGTTGTACATGTATGTTATTGTAGGACCTAGCAGTAGTATTTGTTTGGATAGGATCACACATTTCTAAAAAGAAATTATAACTTAACATGTTCTAAATAATTCCTTGTTGCTGGGCTAATTGAAAATTATTGGGTGTTAGTGTAGCTAGTGATGACAACGATATTTTCGAATCATTTCTAGATGACAACGATATGGTTCCATATTATTAGTTGTTGGTGTGAGTTGCCTCCCTTTGGAAACGTGCTTCGTTTTTTGGCGCTGTTTTCTTGCCATCATATTTCGTAAATCCATAGGAGCGTTATAGAGCCCAAAAGAGGTATATTAATTAGTATATATTCAAGTTTTTACTTTGATACTTTAATGTGTGTTGTCATTTATTTCATATTTACTATACGTAGGAAAATATACAGTCAAATTGTAGTATGTAATAAGTTTTCGCGATAAGTGTTAATCTTTTCTGATCTGGATATTTTATCTAAGAGTTGAAATCAACTTAATAAGTATGCCATTTTACATGTATGTTGTTTGCTAGTGATTGAATATGTGTGTAATGTTTGTATTTGCAGTTCGACGGAGACGTCGGAGATCTTGAACGCAAAATAAAATCTCAACGAACAAACGTCTTCTGTCTACTCTAGGGCCCAAACATGCCACATTTACAGTCGAACTCTTACTCAACTCAACGTTTGGATGTTGACAATGATGGTCGTCACCATGCAAAGACAGCGATAACGATAGTCTTTACGAAATTATCAGATTATTCAATGAGTAACAGTAAACTGTTGAAGTCAATTGAACTCTTGAGTAGTTCATCCAAACCAGATTCTTTAACTTGGAAACCTGTGGTACTTGCTGATAGCAAAGGCAAATATATTGAAAGTTCAGTTCAAAGGTCATCAAGGCCAGAAAATCTAATTTTATGGGTTTCTTAAGCTGGTTGGAAATCATCTGATGTTGATAAATGGATTGAACAAAATCTTGAAACTCTACTAAAAACTCACCAATTTATTAGTTTGTATGTGTGGATCGGCACCTGCGATTTGACAGTAAAAGGTAAAAAATATATCCAGCTGCGACGTAATTCTACAGAAGCATTAGAACAAAATTTACTAAAAATTAAGAACCTCATCACAAACTCTAATGTAAAACTAACATTTTTTCATATCCCGTATTATTCCATTCGACTCTGGAACGAAACAAAAGGACATGAAAATCCTTCATCTTATAAAGAGAGCGATGACCAACTTACATCACTCATCGACACTGCAAATGGTTTTATAGATAAATTGAATTTGGAACAGAATACTTCATCTCCCAAGTTCAACGAAGACTTACGAAGAAGCCGGAAGTCAAAAGGACGAAAGGCTCGTTACTCTACAAATTACAGTCTACTACTTGATGGAATTCATCCAAAGAAAACTTTGGCAACACTTTGGCTATTGTCAATGAAGAAGAAAATATTCAAAGACTGTGCTTAAATGATTATATGACTTTTGATGTAGGCAGCCACATCACTGCAAAAAAACAATTGTATCTGTATTTGTATCAACATATTGCTTGCGTTGTTTGCAATTTGATCGAGTCTCATAATATTGTAAAATCTTAGGTTGACTTTGATGTAGGCAGGGAATGCCCAGTCGCATCACATTGAATTAGCTTCACATTGAATGCCTTTCAATAGTAGTGTGTACTAATTTATTTTTTTTTATGTATAACTTAGTAGGTGAAAGTATCTTAACATACGTTTAAGGATTAAATTTTAGGTAACTTAAATTCATTTAAGTAAGCTACAATCTTTTAGGTTTTTTTATTTTTATTTTTTTTTTTTTTTCTTTTTTCACCTGATGCATTTCTTACTGCTTTTAGCCTTTTTAGGTCATCCGCAGTTTTATTACATAAAGGGGCGACAACTTTAACATTAAAGAAATTGCCTTTGCACATCATGAAATAGTTAAATAACTTGAAATCAATTGTACATATACATGCAACTGTACTGTTAGTTCTAAAGGAGCTCTCAGTACCTTGTGATCATCTTTTGTTCGTTACCTTTGTATCGTTTCTTACACTCCTCCCTAAGATAGGCAAAATGGATGAATGTTCGGGGAATGATAAGGTGGAAGAGTCTATTGAGATTTCTGAAAAACGTGACAGAATTCCTACTGAGAAGGGTCTTGCGTGGAAAACTGATAATTACGTACGCGACATTAGGTCTTTGATATCACGCTGGCATCGTTGTTCTCAACAGTTAAATATACATTTATCAGACACGGAAGATTCAAAACTCATAGTAAAGGAACGCGACAATTTAGTCAATATAATGAATGAGTTAAGCAATAAGTATACAGAATTAAGTGAGTTACCACAATGTGACGAGTTAGATAATATTAGGCTAAGATATGAGTCAATTGAGGCGGACCATAGTAAGGCTTTTGGCCAATACCTCTGAAATTCTTCGTGAGTTGAAGGTGGCAAGTGTGGAATTTCGTTCTTGTTCTTCTTCTAATTCAAAACATTCACACAAAAGCAAAGGTTCTGAAAGTTCTTCACACCACTCATTACTATCAAACAAATCTTACCTTGCAGCTAAAACTGCTGAGTTAAAGGTCAAACTCAAATACCTTGATGTTGAATCCAAAGCCAAGTTGGAATTTGATCGTGTTAAAGCCTTGAAGGGGTTGGAACTAGCCCAGGCAAATATGGAGGCTATAGACGCTGACGTCATTGATTTTGAGGAGCCATCCCGGTCTGAAGCAAAACCAACATTGCCTTCAGTCGACCGAGACAGTTATACGAAAGACTACGTTCTCGCACACACTGCTGTTAAAGATGAAAGACTTGAATCATCTCAAACCAATCATCCTATTGAACCTTCCATTAAGGTAGAAAATCAGGACCAGCCAGTCTTAGGTCTTCCTCGCAGACTTTCTAATTCTACTATCTCTAGTTCAAATCTGAATCCTTCTGTAAGTGAATTCTATCCCAAACCTGTACATACACATTGTGAGGGACCAGCATTTTCAACTTCCTGTACCACGTCTCATCCTAAAGGCCCATTTTGTTCTCACAGAGAAACTTACTCTTCACAAGGTTTACCAGTTAATGCACCGGTGCCTAGTTTTAACGCTGAACAAGGAATCATTGAGCTTGCTAAATCGCTTGCCGAACAAGTTAGTCTAACTAGGTTGCCTCCCCCTGAACCTACAGTATTCAGTGGAGACCCCTTGAAATATCCAGGATGGAAGGCCGCATTCCAGACCCTTATAGAACACAGAAATATTCCTTCTTCAGAAAGAATCCATTACCTCAAGAAGTACCTGTCGGGCAATGCAAGGGAAGCAGTCGAAAATTACTTCCTTTTGTCCACTGATGAAACATATGAAAATGCCAAAAGACTACTTGATGAACGTTTTGGTGATCCATTCGTCATTGGCAACTCTTTTAGGGAACGTCTAGAAAAATGGCCCAAAGTTTTGCAAAAAAGAGGCAAACCCTTTCGTTTTTCCCCTTTTTTGAGACAATTACCACTATGCAGAGCATAATACTCTTCAATTTGGATGATGCCCGTGAGAACCAAAGCTGATTTCAAAATTACCTGATTGGGTTGTTGCCAGATGGGGTAGAGTTGTTTACCAGTGGAAAGAAGATGGAAAGGGATTTCCGAGCTTCAAGACATTTGTTGATTTTGTTGATAAGGAGGCTAAGATTGCATGTGATCCTATTACTTCTTTGCAGTCCCTTAGAACAGAGATGGCCCCTGAGGGTCGAGGCAAATCTAGAGGTGTTGTAAAAACTGAGGATCATTTTAAAGGTCGTTCCTTTCTTTCAAACACCAATGATAATAATTCTGTTCATACTGCTGGTAACTCTAGAAATGCTAAGTTTAACTGTCCTCTTTGTCAAGCCGGTCATGAACTTGATTTTTGTCGCAAATTTCTTGCTAAAACTGTAGATGAGCGGAAGGATTTTGCAAGAGAGAATAAACTTTGCTTTGGGTGCTTAAGATCTGGTCACATCTCAAAGAAATGTGAGAATAGGAAAAAATGCAAAACTTGTACTAAATTTCACCCAACGTCTCTTCATGGTTCTGCAGTTAACTTTAAAAAATCCCAATCAGGTCCTGACTTAAAGAACTCAGAAAAGGACAAACCAGATGAAGGCAATGACAAGAACCCTCAGTCTGGAATTTCTTTATTGAACAATGCCGGTGCTCATTGTAAGACATCTATGATCGTCCCTGTATTTGTATCTCATTGTGACTCTCCTGAACGTGAAGTGTTAGTCTATGCTTTGCTTGACACTCAATCAGACACCACCTTTGTTCTTTCAAACACTTGCGATTCTCTTGGTGTTTATGGAGCACCTGTGTCTCTTGTTCTTTCTACTATGCATGCAGAAAATAAAACTATTCAGAGTCACAGAGTCCGTGGCTTGGTTGTGCGGGGTTTTGATAGCACCTTGAAAATTCCTTTGCCAAATGCCTTCTGCAGAGATACAATACCTGGAAACCGAGATCATATTCCTACTCCTGAAGTAGCCAAACTTTGGCCCCACCTTGAAGATATTGCAGGGAACTTGATGCCTCTTTCTGAATGTGAATTTGGACTTCTTATAGGTTATAATTGTGCCAGAGCCCTTATGCCACGGGAGATCATTCCACCGTCTGGAAACGGACCTTATGGTCAACGCACAGATCTTGGCTGGAGCATAGTGGGTATTGTCGACCCTAGTGAAACGTTAGACAACTCGGATGATTGTATAGGTATAAGTCATCACATTTGCACACATGAAGTTTCATCTGCTCTTATTTCTGAGGCAAACAATTTAAGTTCTGTTTCTTTCTCCTTTCCTGCAACTATAAAGGTAGAAGGCCCAATAGATGTCATTCGTATGCTAGAACTAGACTTCATTGATAGAAGTGCCAATGGTCTTAGTGTGTCACTGGAAGATAAGCAGTTTATGAGAATCATGAGTCAGGGAATTCATAAACATGATGGACATTATACAATGCCTCTTCCCTTTAAAGGTGACCCTCCCTCTTTACCTTGTAACAAAGAAATGGCTCTTCAGCGATTGATAAGTCTAAGGAAACGTTTCAGGACTAACAAAGAGTTCCAAAGTTATTACAAGGTGTTCATGGACAACCTTATACAGCAAGGACATGCAGAAAGAGTTTCAGATTCTGATGCATTGGTATCTGATGGTCGAGAATGGTATATTCCTCACCATGGCGTTTTTCATCCACATAAACCAGGGAAACTTAGGGTTGTATTTGATTGCAGTGCATCATTAAATGGTGAAAGTTTGAATAAACATCTTTTGCAGGGACCTGATTTAACAAATACACTGGTTGGAGTATTGTGTCGTTTCCGTATGGAAAAAATCGCTTTTGTTTGTGACATTGAACAAATGTTTCACCAGTTTAAAGTTCATGAAGCCCATCGCAACTATCTAAAATTTTTATGGTGGTCAGACGATAACATGTCACAACCTGTCACACTTCGTATGTGTGTCCACCTGTTCGGTGCCACCTCTTCTCCAGCGTGTGCGAATTTTGGATTAAAACAAGTTGCAACAGATAATGAGTCAGAATTTGGAAAGGATGTTGCAGACTTCCTGCGGAACAATTTTTATGTGGACGATGGACTCAAATCAGTAAAGACTGAAAAGGAAGCTATATGCATGATTAAAGGCACTCAAGAGCTTTGCAAGAAAGGTGGTCTAAGGCTGCACAAATTCACTTGTAACTCTAAGGAAGTACTACAGCACATACCCTTAGAGGACCGGGCAAAGGGACTTGCCGACGTTGACATTTTCGCTGATTCACTTCCCGTTGAAAGAACTTTGGGTGTACAATGGAACATTCAATCAGATGCATTTCAGTTCAAAATTACATTGTCAGACAAACCCTTGACCAGAAGGGGTATTCTTTCTACAGTTTCCTCCATCTATGACCCCTTAGGACTTCTTTCTCCCATAACTTTAGTAGGAAGGAGGATTCTCCAACAAATGTGTGCAGAAAACTTTGATTGGGATGATCCAATTTCTGATAACATTTACATGCAGTGGCAGCAATGGAGAGAAGATCTGCAGAATCTTAAGACCTTGCAAGTGACTCGTTGTTTCAAACCTGATGATTTTGGCGATCTTGTTTCCGTGCAATTTCATCATTTCTCGGATGCAAGCACTAATGGCTATGGACAATGCTCTTACTTGCGACTTCAAGACCATGAAGGCAAAATCCACTGTTCACTCCTTATGGCCAAAGCTAGAGTCGTTCCTCTCAAGACCATGACAATTCCTAGATTGGAGCTTACCGCAGCAACTGTTTCTATCAAGATTAGCAATCTGTTGAAAAAGGAACTGCATTATGAAGCTGCAACTCACCATTTTTGGACAGATAGTCGAGTAGTGTTGGGTTATATTTCGAATGATTCTAAGAGATTCCATGTGTTTGTTGCCAATCGTGTCCAACAAATAAGAGACTTTTCTGATCCATCTCAGTGGAGATACATTGAAACTACACAAAATGTTGCCGATATTGCTTCCCGTGGAGCAATGGTTTCAGAGCTAGTCAATTCCAAGTGGTTTACTGGACCTGATTTCATTTGGGAAAAAGAAAGCATTCATGTTACAAAGAAGGAGTTACATGCATTATCAGAAAACGACCCAGAGTTGAGGTCAAAATGTTTTGCATCAGTGGTTCAGATTTGTCCCTTTTCCTCAATTCTTGAGCGCCTGGAATATTTTTCTGACTGGAATCACGCCAAAGTAGCAATTGCTTTGTGTCTACGTTTTAAGCGTATGTTAATGAACAGACTGGTAAAGAGACCAAAGCCTCAAATTCTAAATGTTGATTTGCACGAGTTTCCAATAAAGACTTACCAGCGCCCCACAGTAGAAGACTTGCGTCAGGCAGAAATAGAAATCATAAGGCAAGTACAAAGTACTAGTTTTGAAAGGGAAGTCAAATGTCTCCTTAGTCAAATGTCTACAAAACAGTCTGCTATCGGCAGGGATTCGTGTCTTTATCGACTAAGTCCAGTTATTGATGAAAATGGACTCATTCGTGTCGGAGGGCGTTTGAACAATGCTTCATTAAACTATGGTTCTATACACCCCATCGTCTTACCTCGGAAATGTCATGTGACAAAACTGGTAATAAAGTACTATCACGAACGTGTACAACACCAAGGACGTGGCATAACCACAAACGAAATACGTGGCAATGGTTATTGGATAATTGGATGTAGTTCCGCTGTTTCTGATCTAATCTTTCATTGCACAGTCTGTCGCAAACTTCGAGGTTCTGTACAAGACCAAAGGATGTCAGACTTACCATTTGATAGAGTTGATCCTGCACCACCATTTACATATAGTGGTGTAGATTTCTTTGGCCCTTTCCATGTTAAGGAAGGTAGGAAAGATTTGAAGCGATACGGTGTATTGTTTACGTGCCTTACCTGTCGTGCTATTCACATTGAAATAGCAAACACACTAGATACTCATTCTTTCATAAATGCGCTTCGCCGCTTTCTGTCTGTAAGGGGCCCAATCCGCCAGTTAAGGTCTGATAGAGGTACTAATTTTGTAGGCGCTGAACGAGAACTCCGCGAAGCGGTCTCAGAAATGAATAATGATAAAATTACTAATTTCTTACTTAAAGAGGGTTGTGATACCTTTTTGTTCAAATTTAATGTACCTTCAGCAAGCCATATGGGCGGTGTCTGGGAGAGACAGATACGCACTGTCAGGAATATACTCTCAGGTCTTTTACATAATTTCGGAGGTCAGCTTGATGATGAAGCTTTACGTACCTTTGCGTGTGAGGTAACAGCAATTGTAAATAGTAGACCCTTGTCGGTCGAGAGTTTAAATGATCCTTTGTCTGCGGAACCGCTTACCCCTAATCACTTACTTACCATGAAGACAAGGGTCCTCCTCCCTCCTCCAGGGAATTTCATAAGTACTGATCTATATACCCGTAGAAGGTGGAGACGCATCCAGTATCTCGCCAATGAGTTCTGGAACCGATGGCGAACAGAATATTTAAATAACCTTCAGGTTAGATCTAAATGGATCTCTGCCAAGCGTAACATTAAGGTCAATGATGTGGTCCTAGTTAAGGATGAAAATATGCCTCGTAATAAGTGGAGAATGGCTGTAGTAGAAACAGCAAACCCAGATTCAGACGGTATGGTAAGAAAGGTGAGCGTCAAAACAAATGTTGTTTCCTTTGATGCTAAGGGTAAAGCAGTCAAGTCAATAACGCATCTTGAAAGACCTGTGCACAAACTTGTATTGTTACACGAAGCGCCTGAATCTTAATTACTGATAGTGGGTTCAGCCCCGTCAAGGAGCCTTTATTGTGTTGAGTTGACTGATTTTTTTGTAAAATTAGTTCCACACTAATTTTGGGGAGCCATGTTAGTGTAGCTAGTGATGACAACGATATTTTCGAATCATTTCTAGATGACAACGATATGGTTCCATATTATTAGTTGTTGGTGTGAGTTGCCTCCCTTTGGAAACGTGCTTCGTTTTTTGGCGCTGTTTTCTTGCCATCATATTTCGTAAATCCATAGGAGCGTTATAGAGCCCAAAAGAGGTATATTAATTAGCATATCTTCAAGTTTTTACTTTGATACTTTAATGTGTGTTGTCATTTATTTCGTATTTACTATACGTAGGAAAATATACAGTCAAATTGTAGTATGTAATAAGTTTTCGCGATAAGTGTTAATCTTTTCTGATCTGGATATTTTATCTAAGAGTTGAAATCAACTAAATAAGTATGCCATTTTTACATGTATGTTGTTTGCTAGTGATTGAATATGTGTGTAATGTTTGTATTTGCAGTTCGACGGAGACGTCGGAGATCTTGAACGCAAAATAAAATCTCAACGAACAAACGTCTTCTGTCTACTCTAGGGCCCAAACAAGCCACATTTACATTGGGCTTATTGAAAATTAAACCGACATGTATTTTATTTGTCTTTTAATTAGGAATAAAATCTTTGGTAAAATCCATAACGCCAAATGAGACCTATTGCGTGCCGTACAAATATAGCAGATGCTGCATTTAATTAATTAGTATTTTAAAAGAAATTCATATTTCTTATGTTATTATTTAACTTCATGTTACACGGATGATACGTTCAAAATAAATTTGATTAAGCAAAGCACCACATATTGTTCGGAAGTCGGTACATAAATGCAAATAGACAATCGTCGTGTTCAAAAAAGGAGAAAATTGTCCAGGTACATTTCCTTGTACTCGCATGGGAATAATAGAAATATACTTTTCTTTAAGTGAATACGACAATTTCCTCATTGTTATATTCGCCAATCAATTAACCGTATGACAGATGAATCATGGATTCTCTTTTAAAGAAAGATTTTGTATTAGCCTTCATTAACACAAATAACCTCCATGACATTTTCAATTTATTCCGGTCAGTTAATTTAAACCCATTAATGAATAACATAGGATTAAGCAGTGTATCGTTTAATGGTAACCGATATGAAAAAGTGATTTTTTTGTTTCATTAGATATTTCTTACATTTACTGTCATGTGAAGACGGGAGGTGTAATGATTATGCTTTCAGCGTCTGTATGTATGTGTATATACATGTTAGCTTGTTCTGATAAATACTAACAATTTGAATGTGTTATTGTAAGTTTGAATACAGAGAATGTGGTAATGTACTGACTTAAAACACATTAAACCAATGAAGTGACGAAACTTTATTCATTAGTACTCACCCAATAAGGTCAGTATGTTCTTAACTTTATAGATTTATTTATTGTTTTACTGTATATGTCCCGTGTACTTGCTCAAGTGCCATAATCGAAAAGTAACGAATTGTGTGCCTGTTGGATTAAAAATGCGGCAGTGTTTGATCGTTGTACTAGGTCCGTATTTTTTATATGTTCAGTAAATGTATTTTGTAAATCGTGTCCTCTGTTTCGCCCAAAAGATGTTACCCTGGTAACGCTTACAGTAAGCAAATTCTACCACATTTGTCGATTTACGCGTGCCTTAGTTGTGTACCTTGTATGAGGTCCCGTTTACCACCAATGAACTTGTCTCTTTTAATACCATACAGGAGATTTGTACTCTTTTTAGAATAACATAGAATGCGGAAATTCGGCTGTTGAAAGAACTGAACAGTATGTTCAATTTAAACTAGAATGTTGATTATTATTTCTTACAAATGCAGTTGATGAAAGATTTGGAAGTATTTCTTGCATTTTATCTTAGGTATGCAATTTTTGTAGCTGTGTGTACTATATTTTTCTATGTCTTGAATTACTCTAGAAAATATCTGTATGAAGGGAACTCTTATTTTTTTATATTTGTATTATATTGCAGTTACATATAGTCAATCTTAGTTTCTATACATTTATTTGTTAAAATACGTTTTGATATTAATGTAAGTAATTATAACTTCGTTTCCGTTAATGATTTGTGATGTTTGTTTTCTTTGTGATATTTGTAGATTTGTTGACAAATATTCGTTTTGCAAACCTTTCCTTACAGATAGAAGGGAATACCCCTTTTTTGATATATGAACTTCACTTATGATAAGTAACAGATAACTCTCATAACGACAAATTGAATGTAACACCATTAGCTACTAGTTTAACATGAATTTACATCTTGCAGCATTTAACGGTACGGTTGCAACATTTAACGGGAAGTGAAAATCGTGCGATATTTAACTTTACCACTGAGACATTTAATAGCAGATGATGTTGCGGAACTTAGCGGTGGTTGAGACATTTAGCGGCAATGGTGCGACATTAAGCGGTAAGTGCGACATCTAGCGTCGTTGTGATATATAACGGCGCCACATTTGTCTCTTGGCGAAAAGACATTTTGTGTCATTACATGTAAAGGTGTTTATCTGTTGGTTTAGTGTTAAGATCAGTACAAAAAACTACTCCATTTTGAATAGTCGGCATGACGACTTGTTAAATCAAGCTACC